GGTCATGGCACTAGGGAAATTATAGCCAATGTTAGACGGATCTTAGCTGAAAGCAGACAGTAGCAAAGGAATGTATGTTTGTGTTTCAATAACTATTTAAAGGCATTTGGCCGGGTGGATCACAAGTTGTGGCTAACTAGACCAGGAGGCAGTTGTCAGAACAGAACAAGGAAACACTTCATGGTTCAAAATCAGAAAAGGTGTTCTTTTTTGCAGGTTTTCCAGTGTTTTTCAAGAGCAACAGAGTTTATTGACATTAAATGAGGGAAGGAATTAATTGTATAGGACTGCCCTAAATATGTCCTGTGGCTCCCTTTCCCCCACTCCCAGTAATAGTGTTCATTCAGTTAATGTAACAACCAAAACCACTCTGATATCTTTCTAAACATCTTCCTCGATGAAAGGCTGGTTCTTGGTTGAGAACTACTATAACATCAATTTTATAAGAAATCATCATTTTATACTGGTCTTATAGAGACTAATGAAACTCCTGAGACTATGGTCATTAGTCACCCTTTGAATCTAGAAGACAGCTTACCACTGTGGCTCAACTTTCAGCTGTGCAATAGGACTTCAAGGTGAACAATAACACCAGGGAGGCACACACCTCTTAGGATAATCAGTCATACAAGATCAAAGGGGCAACATTTACCCAGGGACAAAGCTCACAAGGCAGGTGGGGTAGGATAGGATGAGTGAAAATAAGACTCATAGGGAAGAAATGGGAAGAGTGCAGATATACTGTTAATATTATAATTAATGTCATAAAACAAAATATATAAATGTAAAACTCCTTTGTAAATTTTTACCTAAATCACAATAAATTAAATACAAAAAATTGAAAAAGTTTAAAAAGCAGTCTTAAATGTTGTTATGAAACTACCTCTGCCAGAATAATGCTGACCTTAAGATTCATAAAGAGTGCACTTATTTAGAAATAATAATTTATTGATTCCTCCCCTAGAATTTCATTCAATAGGCCTGAGGTGGAGTTCCAGGAATTTCTACTCTTAAGTTAAGCACTTCACTAGAGTCTTCAGCTCATTTAACATTTGAGAAAAACTAGGTGAGACATATATATACTCAGCCATACATGTATATATCAAAACTTCACCACACTGGGTCAATGGCTCACCAATTTATTTGTAAATGTGCCTTTTATTTCTATGTACCCAGGACTGGGCTTCAATTCATAGTGACCCTATGTAAAACAAATATAGATCTCTTCCAGTCAGTTGGCCAAGTGGTTGTCCTCCAGATTTCTTGGCACAGCTTGGTGAGCACATCTAGAGCAGCATCTGTTAGTTGAAATATATCAACTGGTATAGCATCTATTCCTGGTACCTTATTTTTCACTAGTCCTTTCAAATCAGCTTGAATTTCTTTCTTCATCACCATAGGCTCTTGCTCATATGTTGTTTCATGAAATTCTTCTGTGTCTGCCAATTCCTTTTGGTGCAGTGACTCTGTATATTCTTTCCATCTACTTACTGGATCGTTTCATATTCTACTCAGAGCATCCTTAAGCATAGAAACTTGAGGTTTGAATTTGTTAAGTTCCTTGAGCTCAAGAAATGCTAAGCGAGTTCGGCCCTTTTGATTTTCTGACTCCAGCTCCTTGCACATTTCATTGTAATGTTTTACCTTGCCTTCCATGCTGCCTTTTGAAATCTTCTGTTCAGCTCTTTAATATCGTGAATTCTTCCCTCTGCTTTGGTTTTGCGGTGCTCTAGTGCAATATTAAGTCTCTTATGGCATCCATCTTGGTCTTTTTTCCCTCCTCTGTCTTTGTAATGACCTTTTGCACTCTTCCTGGATGATACTCTTGATATCCTCCCAAAACTCATCTGGTACTTGCTCATTGGTGTTCAAGGCCTCAAACCTGTTCCTGAGATGGTTCTGAAATTCAGGTGGGATAGACTCAAGGTCATATTTTGGTTCCTGTGGATTTAATTTAATTTTCCTTAGCTTCAGTTTGAACTTGCATATTAGTAGTTTCCACAATCAGCACCTGGCCTAGTTTTCACAGCTGATAGTGAGCTTCTCCAGTGGTTCTTTCCACAAGATGTAATTAATCTGATTCCTATGCATCAGGTGAAATCCATGTGTATAGCCTGCATTATGTGTTTTTTAATGTTTCTTATAAAACATATTTGCAATGAATAAGTCATTGTGCAAAACTCAATCATTCTATCTCCAGCTTCATTTCTGTCATTGAGTCCATGTTTTCCAACTACTAATCCATCTTCTCTGTTCCCAACTTTTGTATTCCAGTCACCCATTATTATTAAGGCACCTTGATTGCATATTTGATTGATCTCTGACTGTACAGGTCGGTAGAAGTCTTCTCTTCTTTGGCTCTCGTTGTTGGTGCATATATCTGAATGATAGTGGTAGTCCCTAAACTTCCTTGTTTGCATATAGATATTATCCTATCACTCACGATATTGTATTTAAAGACAGATCTAGAAATGAATTTTTTAACCATGAAAGCAACCCCATTTTTCCTCACCTTTTCATCTCCAGAGTCATAGATCATATGATAATCTGAATCAAAATGTCCCATGCCAGTGCATCTCATCTCTGCAACACCTAGTATGTCAATATTTATGCATTTCGTTTCTTCCTTAACAATAGGTCAAGGACTGAAGACTGCAATATGGATTGAGGCTCAATATCAAGAAGACAAAGATTCTCACCACTGGACCAATTGGCAGCATCAGGATGGATGGTGAAAAGATTGAGATCGTTCACAGCTTTAATTTGCTTGGCTCCACAGTCAACACTCTTGGCACCAGCAGCCAGGAAATTAAAAGATATATTATGTCACTCTGGAGACTAAGGTGTGCCTGATACAGGCCATGGTCTTTGCAACCACTTGCTATGCATCAGAGGATAGAAAGAGCTGTGGTACTGGAGAAGAGTATTGAGGGTACCATGGACTACCAAGAAAACAAACAGATTCATCCTGGAGAGGATTAAACCAGGCTGCCCCTTGGAGGCAAGGATTCCGGGGCTTGTCTGACATACTTTGGAGATGTTGCAAGGAGGGACAGGTCCTTGGAGAGGGACGTCATGCTGGGAGGGTGGAGAGACAGCACAGGAGAAGAAGACCCTCTATGAAGTGGATTGATTCAGTGACTGGGGTAATGGGGATGGGAGTGTAGGAGACAGTGAGACTGGCACAGGATAGAGCAGGGTTTAAGGCTGTTGTTGTACATAGGGTCGCTATGAGTCGACGGCACATAACAACAACAACAACTATGTACAACAGAACAAAGCCTTTCCTGATCCTGCACCATCCTCACAATATAAGCTGTGCACAATATAAGCTCATTGTTGCAGTCACTGTGGCAATCCATTCTATTGAGGGTCTTTTACTAGGCTGCAAACCTTGTTTTGGACTATTTTATTACACAATGTGTTTTTCTGATTACAAAGGAATTTTAAGTGGGAATCCACAGTCATGAGAAGTGTGACAATTCTTCTAAAATGTCTATTTTTGCCCAAATCACTACTTGATACATGTCCACTATGCATGTAAAGGGAGCTCTGGTAACCTAGTAACGGCTGGTTTGAATCCACCAGAGGCTCTAAGGAAGAAAGATGGACAATCTCCTTTGTGATTTACAGCTCTGAAAAAAAAAAATAAAAAATACACAAACCTGCTGTAGGGTCAGCTGAGTCAGTTCCGACTTGATAGCACAAAACAGCACACCATATATGTAACAACAACAACAAAACACCACCAAAAAAACCCCCACCATCTCATTGTCATTGAGTAAGAACTGACTCTCCGGTGTCTCCAATGGAGGTAACCCTCCAATGGGTTTTTCAAAGGCTGTAAAATGCACGGAAGGACATTGTCTGCTTTCTTCTATGGCGCCGCTGGTGGATTTGAACAACCAGAGAGGCACCTTTTTTGAGTTAGCAGCAAAACTATCTATTGGGTCACCAGAGCAGTGCTCACTATTTATTAAAAAAGTATTATATTTCAAGTGAAATCACACACACCCTGCATGCACGCTCACACAAATTATAATCTATCTAGAATTAATGTCTGTGCCTCAAACTTTCTAAATATTTAAGCATCAAACAGGCCCTCAAAGAATGTGCCCTTTTGTACTTCCTTCTCCTCTCCCTGTGGTGACTCAGATGTTAAACTTTTGGCTGCTAACCAAAAGATTTGTGGTGGGAAACCAGTAGCTTTTACATGGTAGAAAGATGTGATGGTCAGTTTCAGTAAAGTTTCGTTTTGGAAATCCTGTGGGGTAGTTCTTTTCTGTCCTATAAGGTCATTATGACTGAACAGACTCTAGGATAAATGGATGTGTTTTAATCCTGTTCTTCCTCAAACCCTAGTCTACTGTCTTCCTGTGAGGTGACAACTAGTCCTACACGCCATATTCTAGGAGTGTAGCCACCAAAATGTAATTAGTGATCCTTTGTTTTTCACAATCCTGTCAGTGATTTCTCCACTCACTCTTATGAACAGCAAGCATTTAGGGCTCTAGGGCTACTAGGGGAAAACTCGGAACTGTTTTCCCTTTACCTCTCCAGCTGTTCAGCTATCTTGGTATCCTGGAGTTAAGTGTCACCTCATTCTCTTGGCTGCTAAGACTCTTCCCTATTCTCAGTCCAACCACTTGTAGCTTTAGCAAAAGAATAATCATCACGCTGATTGGGTGGGGCAACCATTTGTCTTCCTTTTTAGAGAATGAAAATGAAGGCGCCCTGATAAATGAGCTTCAGTTACCCAGTGATTCCTCTATCTCTAAGACAAATGTGCCAGGAAAGGCCAGAACTCAACAGGGCAGAGAGGTGATTCCCTCCGCGACGTGACGGAAGCATTGGGTAATAGAAAGACGTCAAGGGGGTGGCCTTAAGTCCCGCTGGCCGGGAGCTTCCGGCTCACGCGCAGTACGGAAGCATGTTTGGCGCTGAGTCCACGCGCCGGACGGAAGTGTGCTCAGCACAGCGGAAGCCATTGGGGAAGAGCTATGGCGGGTTTGACTGTGAGGGACCCTGCGGTGGATCGTTCACTTCGTTCTGTGTTCGGTGAGAGGAAAACGGTGGAGCTCAGCGTCCGGGAAGGGCAGAAAGAGGCAGGGAGCTACGAGGATTGCCCCCCTGGAACTCTCTCACCTTATGAACCTGTGATGGATGGGTCGGGGCATGGAGTTCTACTAGCTTATCTTGTGGGCGGCCAGCCTGGTGTATTTGTGGGCAAGGAGATACTTCCCTTCTTCTGAGGTTCCGCACCCTTTCTACGCTATTGCTGAGAGAGTTAGACTTGTTTCAGCTTCTGTGTATTTATTTGGCGAACTTTAGTTTTTGTCTGCAAGTCAGGGTGCATGGCAACAGTTCCTCCCTCTCCCTGCCCTATACTAGTCCTCATTTCCTGTTCTCGAATGCAGAGAGAGTAGATAGATACCAGTGTTTGCTTTCTGTCCTCTAATAAGGACTCCCTCTACTCCTTTCTGCTCTTTTACTGGTAACATTGTAGTTCACTGATAGTAGTAGAAGCCCCCTGGTGTGTATTATAAATGAGTGAATGTACGAGTAAGCCCTCAACGAAGGAATCCAAGAAGATTTATTTTATTCTGAGTACTTTCTGGCCCAAATAAGCCGTTTTAAACATACTCCACTACAGTCCTTGATTTTTATCTCGTGTGTGTAAATGTGGACAAGTAAGCCTAAGTATTTATTTGCACCAGCGTTAAGGAATATATAACACTTGTCATAACAATCTGAAAACTAACATCTAGGAGTGCCTATTACACTTAACTCCTTCATATTTAAAGTTCCTTGCTGGCATAGTAGATTAAGTATTGGACAGTTTATAAAAAGTTGAATGCCATTTGAATGTTCCAGCAGCTTTAGGAGAAAGATGTGGCATTCTCCTCCTATTAAGACTTGTTGTTCTGTACACACAATGTAGAACCAACTCATATCTGACTCTCCAGCTGATGTTCAAAGGCAATAAATCACATGGGAGGAGATTGCCCATCATTCTCCCTGCTAGCAACTGGTGGATTTGAATCACATAATTTGGATTGGTGATACAATTCCACTAAGCCACCAGAGCTTTTAAAGCCTTGGGAACCCAAAGAAAGATTACCATTAGTTGGCTTTTGATAGCAGTGGATACATTTTATTTCATCTTCTCCACGGTTTGTTTTGTTTTTGTCAGAAGACAAGATTAGAATCTCTTCTGATGGAGTTCCAAGAAACTAGGATTTAGAGAACACAATTTTGAGCCACTTATTACAGACTCAATAATAAAAGCAGATAATATGCTACTTATTTTTCTCACTTCAAGTGTAAGTAACAAACTTGGGATTTTAATACATCAACCCATTTTTTCTTCCTCAGTGGGGAACATACCTTATGAAGCTACTGAAGAACAGTTAAAGGACATCTTTTCTGAAGTTGGACCTGTTGTTAGTTTCAGGTGAAGTTCCCTTTTTTTTCTGATGGTGTTTTGTTCTTAAAAATTGTCACAGATTTGGCCATTAGGAATAGTAGGAATTACTATTTACAGTGTTACTTTTTAAATATGTATACTTTCTTAATAACAGCTTCATGGAGGTATAATTCATCTTCCATATAATTCACATACACTGTCATTTAAAAGATATGTGTATGAATGTATGTACATCCATACAGTGTTAGATTGAGGTTTTGTTTTTTCATTAAGAAAAAAATCTTTTTAAAAAAGATGAATGACACATAGGTGAAATTACAAGGTTTTAGCCTATAGTGGGCCAAATTATAGCATGAAAGTATTAATAAGAACCCTGGATGTGCAATATCCAATACTTGATTCTGTTCTCCAGGTTGGTGTATGACAGAGAGACAGGAAAACCAAAGGGCTATGGCTTCTGTGAATACCAAGACCAGGAGACAGCCCTTAGTGCCATGCGGAACCTTAACGGGCGTGAGTTCAGTGGTAGAGCCCTTCGAGTAGATAATGCAGCTAGTGAGAAGAACAAAGAAGAACTGAAGAGTAAGTGTAAACCCAAGTTACATGAAATATGGCTTAATAAAGATGCATTTGAAGATTTTACATTTGAGGTATGTTCTAGAATATGCTGAAATGGTTAGTCATAGTTTCTTTACTTGCTTGATTTGAGATACCTACAAATTAACATGGAAAATCTTTCAGTTGCCAAAGAATTGAATTCTAGTTAAAGATAAGCTAATTCAGGCTCCCAAGCCATCACTAAGTGTGAATCATGTTCGCATTCACCACTGGTGTGACTATGTTGCCATATTTGTAACTGGTAGGGATATTAAGGCTTTCTTACACTTTCCCCCCATGAAGTAATGATGTTATTGTTATTATATGCCATTGAGTCAGGTAGAACTCATAGCAACCCTATGATCTGAACCCTGCCCTATCCTGTGCCATACTCACCAGCTCTGGTATATTTGAGCCCACTGTTAAAATCACATTCCAGAACATTACACATTTTTACAGAAGCAATGTCGTTATGTGCTATGGAATTGACTATGTCTCAGCTTCCTGAACAACATGCCCAACATGACTCTGGAAACTGAACTTTGATAAACATCGATAGTTATAGAAAGGCTTCAGGCCTTTTGTTCATAGGATCGCTATGAGTTGTGCTTGACTTGAAGGCAGTCAACAACAACAGCATAGCAACCAGGATCTGAACCCGTCCCTAGCCTGTGACATCGTCATCATCTCTGATATCCTTGAGCCCATCATTACAATCACTGTGTCATTCCTTCTTGTTGAAAGTCTTCCTCTGTTTCTCTGACCTTCCACTTTTCCAAGCATGATGTCCTTTTCCAAGGACTGAGCCTCCTAGCAGCATGCCCAAAGTATATGAGGCAAAGCTTCATCATTCTCTACTCCAAGAAACACCCTGGTTGCAACTTTCTCTAAGACAGATTTGTTTGTTTTTTGGCAGTCCATGGGATATTTTCTACACTTGTCCAACATCACAACTCAAAGGCCTCACTGCTTCTGTTATCATTAGTCATTGTCCAACTTTCAGATGCATAGCAAGTAATTGAAAAGACTGGCATGGTTCAAATGGCACCAAGAATTCCCTTTGAAATTAGCTTCCCCCCACCCCTGTTTCAACCTTTTCTTCTGCAGTGTTTTGTCAGAAATTCATATGCCTTAGGTTAACATTGTCCATTTGTGTGATCATAGTTCCTTCTTTCCTCTGATAGCAAAAAATACTGTCACTAGCCTCCACACAAGCAAGAGACTTGCAAATTACGTATTTCTCAGTGCCAAGAACTTTTAAAGGCCTTTATAGTATCCCTGGGAGGTAGATGCTTGAAGTGATTTAGCTCTTTATCTCCTTAGCTTTCTTGTGCTTTCTTCCAACCAGGCCTTGGCACTGGTGCCCCAGTCATTGAGTCACCTTATGGAGAGACAATCAGTCCTGAGGATGCCCCTGAGTCCATTAGCAAAGCAGTTGCCAGTCTTCCACCAGAACAGATGTTTGAACTGATGAAACAAATGAAGGTATGAGGAGTCATTAGGTTACGGACAAATCAGATCACATCAGATTTTAAGGAGTAATTGGTAAGACAGTGGAAATAGTTCCCTGAGCTCAAATATGTGTGTCTGTATACCACCATTTCCTGCATTTTTAGTATTCCATATACACATAGTATGTTTTACATTTTATATAGCAAGCTTCCCATTGTTTTATACAAATAGTCTTGACTGAGTTTTGTAGTCTGTAGAAATCAGATATGGGGTGGGGTTGTATGTATGTTTTCCCCAAAGTGACAATATGGTATTTGAAATGCCTCTTCATTCTGTTACCTGCCATGACCAAGATTTTGTGTGCTAAGTAAAAACTAATGATAGTTTGCATCTTTTGAATATTACATTTCTCAAATGGAAATGACATTCAATTACTCTTGACCTCTAATAGTATTGAGCCTGATGATGAAATCCGCATATCTTCTCAGCTCTGTGTCCAAAATAGTCCCCAGGAAGCACGAAACATGTTGCTTCAGAACCCTCAGCTGGCCTATGCCTTACTTCAAGCACAAGTGGTGATGAGAATTGTAGATCCGGAAATTGCACTGGTGAGTACTCTACTGCTTTTCTGGAAATAGAGTATACCTTGGATGAGGTGGAACCTGCATAATTATTTGTTAAATGGACGGCTTATAGTTTTGTCTTTTTACTTTTTAGAAAATTCTACATCGCCAGACAAATATCCCAACACTGATTACAGGCAACCCTCAACCAGTCCATGGCTCTGTGCCTGGTCTAGGATCCAGTGTGTCAGTGAACCAGCAAAATCCTCAGGCTCCTCAGGCACAGTCTTTGGTAGGGTATTATCTTTCACTGTTTCTTTTACCTCTTTTAGAATGTCATTTCTTTTTAGGAGGGTATACTCTGAAAATTGCACTGGAGCGCAGAGAAGCCAAAGCACAGGGAAGAATTCAAGATACTAAAGAGTTGAATAGAAGATTTCAAAAGGCAGCACGGGATGACAAAACAAAATATTACAATGAAATGTGCAAGGAGTTGGAGTCAGAAAATCAAAAGGGCCGAACTCGCTCAGCATATCTTAAGCTCAAGGAAATGAAGAACAAATTCAAACCTCGAGTTGCTATAATCAAGGATGCTTTTGGCAGAATGTTAAATGATCCAGGAAGTATTAAAAGAAGATGGAAGGAGTATACTGAGTCACTGTATCGAAAGGAATTGGAAGACACAGAAGAATTTCATGAAACAACATATGAGCAAGAGCCTATGGTGATGAAAGAAGAAGTTCAGGCTGCTTTGAAGGAAATGGCAAAAAATAAGGCTCCAGGAATAGATGGTATACCAATTGACATATTTCAGTTAACAGATGCTGCCCTGGATGTGCTCACCAAGTTGTGCCAAGAAATCTGGAGAACGACCACTTGGCCAACTGACTGGAAGAGATCTATATTTGTTCCTATCCCAAAGAAAGGTGACCCAACAGAATGTGGAAACTACAGAACAATCTCACTGATTTCACATGCAAGCAAGATTTTACTGAAGATTATCCAAAAACGACTGGTACAGCACAGCAACAGAGAACTACCAGAAGTCCAGGCTGGGTTTAGAAGGGGGGGTCGGGGTACTAGAGATATTGTAGCTGATGTTAGATGGATCTTGGCTGAAAGCAGGGAATACCAGAGGAATGTCTATCTGTGTTTCATTGACTATGCAAAGGCATTTGACTGTGTAGATCATAACAAACTATGGCTGACTCTAAGAAGAATGGGAATCCCAGAACACTTGATCGTTCTAATGCAAAACTTATACTTGGACCAGGAGGCAGTCGTCAGAACAGAGCAAGGGAACACTGCATGGTTCAAAATTGGGAAGGGCATATGCCAGGGATGTATCCTATCTCCATACCTTTTCAACCTGTATGCAGAACAGATTATCCGGGAGGCTGGGCTCTATGAGGAGAAATGTGGGGTCAAGATTGGTGGACGATTTATCAACAGTCTGCGTTATGCGGATGACACAACCTTGCTTGCTGAAACTGAGGAGGACCTGAAGCGCCTGCTGCAGAGTGTCAAGAACTGCAGCCTACAATATGAATTGAGGCTCAATGTCAAGAAGACAAAGATTCTCACCACTGGACCAATTGGCAGCATCAGGATGGATGGTGAAGAGATTGAGATTGTACACAGCTTTAGTTTGCTTGGCTCCATAGTCAACAGTCTTGGCACCAGCAGCCAGGAAATTAAAAGGCGCATTGCCATGGGAAAGTCTGCTGTTAGGGACCTCTCCAAAGTACTGAAGAGCAATGGTGTCTCTCTGGAGACTACGGTGCGTCTGATACAGGCTTTGGTCTTCCCAATCACTTGTTATGCATCAGAGAGTTGGACAATGACCAAGGAGGATAGAAGGAGAATTGATGCCTTTGAGATGTGGTGCTGGAGAAGAGTATTGAGAATACCATGGACTGCTAGGAAAACAAACAGATTTGTCCTGGAAAGGGTTAAACCGGGTGGCTCCTTGGAGGCAAGGATTCTGAGGCTCCGTCTAACATACTTTGGACATGTTGTGAGGATTGTCCGGTCCTTGGAGAGGGACATCATGCTTGGGAGGGTGGAGGGACGGCGCAGGAGAGGAAGGCCCTCTATGAGGTGGATTGATTCAGTGACTGGGATAATTGGGATGGGAGTGTCAGAGACGGTGCGATTGGCACAGGACAAAGCGGAGTTTAGGGCTGTTGTACATAGGGTCGCTATGAGTCGCAGGTGACTCGACGGCACCTAACAACAACAACATACTGGAAAAAGAATGGCCAGGAATCTTCTACTAGAGATGATAATTTTTGTTTTTAAGCATAAAAACAATTTCCATGTTGCAGAACCTCTGGCAACAGCGTGAACTCAATTCCAAGTATGTAAAGCAAAGAGAGATCTTTCTCATGCATTCTTTTTCAAACTCTCTCTATATATGTCCACATTATGATTGGTACCTCATTATTCCTTATACATTATCTCATTTAATCTTCACAGAAATTGAATGAGGTCTGCATCTTGTCTGTTTTACAATTTTCTGTTCAGTATGTCTGAAAGTATACTCTGTGTGTGTGTGTGTGTTTTCTAGCATTTAGTCCTTACTGAGTTCTTTCTCTCTTAAGAGGCTGCTTAGTTCTTTAGTGAGATACACAGATAAAAATATAACATTCCCTTTCTTCCAAGGAACTTTAATATATCATTAAAAAAATGCACATTCCTCAAAAATCAGTTCTATCTACGGAAGAATTAAGGAAAGATAGGTCAAATACATTGTTTCATCTTAAAAATGGTAACAGCCAGAAATTGCTTTAGAAATATTCCTATTCTTCTGTTTCTCCTTTAGGATCCTTTTTTCTTAAACACTTGTTGCTTGGTTCCAATTGTGAAATCAGCAACAGAAAGTACATTCTGCCTTGTCACACAGATAAGACCTAGCAATTTCTAATATGCTGTATCTTAACTGTGCTATATATAACCTGATATCAGTTGTTTTGTAACTTGTTTCTGTGGAACTAAAAATGTGTTATATATGTTTAGTGTAGATAGTACATACTACTGCTACAGAGTACATACTATAAAAAAGCAAAGTTAATAGACATTTGGGTGTATTGATTTGAAGATTTTATTTTCTCTTGGTCAGGGTGGAATGCACGTCAATGGCGCACCTCCTCTGATGCAAACTTCTATGCAAGGTGGAGTTCCAGCACCAGGGCAAATACCAGCTGCTGTAACAGGACCTGGCCCTGGTTCTTTACCTCCTGGAGGTAATTTTATCATTAAGAGTGCTTTGCTAAAATTTTGTTATTGCTAATATCACAATGTAGCCAAATTATTAGATGGGAAAGGCTTTAAATATACAATTCATATACCTTAGAAATTATATATCCTACATGAAAGAAACGGTTGATTTCTTATATATAAATCATATTTATTTATTTACTTAATAAAGTGGGGAAAGGGAAAGTAAAGTGGAAAATTGCAGTAAAACTTTGAGATAATAAGAGGAAGAATAGAATTACTGGAAACTTACTCATACCAGAAAAAAATAAGGGAAAGGCAGCAATGATGTAAGGTAAGTAAAGGTACTTTAAAATGGAAGGAATAAAATGAAGTACAGTTGTAATTCCACTAAATAAAAATGGACTTATTCTCACATTAAAAGCCAAATGTTATTAGGTTAAAAAACACATGACTAAAACAGGCATAAAATAGATAATCACATTTTTCGTTGTATTTAGTAATCATAGAAGTGTGCTTCAGTAAGTATAAACTAATTCTAATAAGAGTAGAAAAACTTCTACATATTTCTTGAAGTAGAATTTTACACTTTTAACTATCATTCAAAGGTCATATCTAAGCTCATGAAGAGTTTATGAGCAAGATAACAATTCCACATAATAAATATCTGTATTAACACTGAAAACATGATAAATTTAACGTTTGTAATACCTCAAGACTTCTATCTTTTAGTTAATTAGGATCAGATTGATTATACTACTTGTTGTTGTTGTTGTTGTTGTTATGTGCCGTCGAGTCGCTTGCGACTCATAGCGACCCTATGTACAACAGCCCTAAACTCTGCTCTGTCCTGTGCCAATCGCACCGTCTCTGACACTCCCATCCCAATTATCCCAGTCACTGAATCAATCCACCTCATAGAGGGCCTTCCTCTCCTGCGCTGTCCCTCCACCCTCCCAAGCATGATGTCCCTCTCCAAGGACCGGTCTCTCCTCACAACATGTCCAAAGTATGTTAGACAGAGCCTCAGAATCCTTGCCTCCAAGGAGCCACCCGGTTTAACCCTTTCCAGGACAAATCTGTTTTCCTAGCAGTCCATGGTATTCTCAATACTCTTCTCCAGCACCACATCTCAAAGGCATCAATTCTCCTTCTATCCTCCTTGGTCATTGTCCAACTCTCTGATGCATAACAGGTGATTGCAAAGACCATGACCTGTATCAGACGCACCTTAGTCTCCAAAGAGATACCATTGCTCTTCAGCACTTTGGAGAGGCCCCTAACAGCAGACTTTCCCATGGCAATGCGCCTTTTAATTTCCTGGCTGCTGGTGCCAAGACTGTTGACTATGGAGCCAAGCAAACTAAAGCTGTGTACAATCTCAATCTCTTCACCATCCATCCTGATGCTGCCAATTGGTCCAGTGGTGAGAATCTTTGTCTTCTTGACATTGAGCCTCAATCCATCTTAGGAAAGGTAATTTGAATCGACATTTTTTTTTCCCGAAAAACTAGTCTTCATAGAGTTGACAACAAATGAAAGATGAATTTTTATAAGAAATTTCGGCAAGCTCAGGATTTTAATTTATACTGTGTAGTTATAATGAAACTTAAATTTTCTTTTGGCAAAAGAAATGGATTCCAGTTTTACACATTTTTTTTGTTAAGTCTTTATTTTACTCCATCTCTGTGTATGTAACACCATTTTCCACACTTTGTATGAATTTAATCTGCATCATTCATGAAAAAATATCCTAATTTTAAAGAGGTGATACAGTAGATTTTTCATTTTGTTTTTATTTTAAAAAATGGGCTTCTAAACCTTTGCTTTCTCTTTTCCCACATGGCTGGGAGAGATGATGTTAATGAAGAGAATTAGGTGGATATATTTACAGTCTCAGACTACATGTCTTTCTCCACTGACGGGCTCATAGGTACCAACTATTGACCCTCTGAGATGACTGAGTGCTTTATCCAGTGTGCCATCATGACTTCTATTAACCTCTTACAATGTGTTCCAAGTTGTTGTTGTTGTTGTTTTACACATTTTTAAGAAACACCTACCTAACCCTTAAAATAAGATATTCTGGTGGCATAGTACTTTGCATGTTGGACTCTTCAACAAAAGGTTGGCAGTTTGAATCCACCAGTTACTCCACAGGAGGAAAATAGGTGGTTTCCCCAATAAAGATGTACAGTTGTTGAAACCCCATATAGTAAATCACTGTGAGTCAGAATCAACCTCACAGCATTGAGTTATCTTTAAATAGCTCGATTTAAAGTGTGACCCTACTGCACATAACAAACATGCAGTCAATGTCATATATGACCCAAACTGGTCTACCATGTTCAGTGAAGCAAGTGATCTAATAATGCACTTGAATATCTTGTCTCCTCCCAAGGTGGCTCTGATGTATTGTGACCCTGTATACAACAGAACAATACTCTTCTTGATCCTGCACCATCCTCATAATCACTGTTGTACTTAAGCCCATTGTTGATATCACTGTGTAAGTGCATCTCATTGGAGGTCAAATTGCTATAAAGTTTCTAAATCCTACTTTCAGTTTCTTAATTTTCTCACGGACTGTTAATGTGCAGTTTATGGATCTGCATCTTCGATTAGCCAAACTAGCATTGTGCTGTTGTTTCTACTTGTAGTAGTCTTGCCCAGTTTAACTATGAACAATATAATTTTACTCAATTATGCACCATTCTCACAGTCTCTGCTTGTCTGTGCTCATTGTTGCAGTCACTGTCAGTCGATCTTCTTAAGGACCTTTCCTCTCTTTTGCAAACCCTCTATTTTTTCTATTATTCTTCCCCAGAGACTGACATGAAGTCTTATCCTTGCCTCTAAGGAGCATTCTGGCAACACTTGTAAGGCAGAACTGTTTGTTCTTTTGGTAGTTTATGGTATATTTAATTCTCACTAACACCACAATTCAAAGGCATCAATTCTTTGTTATTCCTTATTTATTGTCCAGCTTTCACATACGTAATGAAGCAATTGAAAATACCATGACTCGGATTAAGTGCATATTAGTGCCATCTTTGCATTTTAACTGGGGGTTCTTGACAGCAGATTTTCCCAGTGCAAGAACACATCTTTTGGTTTCTTGACTGCTGCTTCCGTGGATTTGGATTATAGACCCAAAAAAAATGAGAACCTCATAAACGTCAATTTTTTTCTCCATTTATCATGATGTTGCATATTAGTCCAGTTGTAAGGGCTTTTATTAGTGTTGAGGTGTAATCCATACTGAATTGATCTTTACCAATAAGTGCTTCAGATTCTCTTTACTGTTCTCTAATAAGATTGTGCAATCTGCATAACATAGATTGTTGATGAGTCGACTTCTAATCTTGATGTCATATTTGTTTTATAGTTTGCTCAGTGTATATACTAAATAGGTATAGTGAAACGATATAACGCTGATGCACACCTTTCCTGATTTTAAACCATGCAAAATCCCCTTGTTCAGTTCCAACAGCTGCTTCTTGGTTCAAGCTCAGGTTCGCATGAACACAATTAATGTTCTCGAATTCCCATTCTTTGTTGTTATTGTGTACCATAGAATCAGAACTGACCCATAGCTAATCCTCCAGCAGGTTTTCAGAGGCAGTTAATCACACCACATAGGAGCCCATGCTTCTCCCATGGAGCAGCTGGTGGCCTTGAACCAGGTACCTTTGAGATTGTAGTGCAGCTTCTTGCCACTAAGCCACCAGAGCTCCCTCCCATTCTTAATATTAGCCTTTAATTTATTATGAACCACTCAGTCAAATGCCTTTGCACAGTCAATAAAATACAAGTAACCATCTTTCTGGTGTACTCTGCTTTCAACCAAGATCCCATCTGATACCAACAATTATATACCTGGTCCCCGTGGCCTCTTGTGAATCCAGGTTGAATTTCTGGCAGTTTTCTAAGTAGTGATCCAGCTATTTTTTTAATAATCTTCAGGAAGATTTTACCTATATGTGATAATAATGGAAATGTTCAATAATTTTTGCATCCAGTTGGATGATCTTTATTTGAAATAGGCACTATTATGTCTCTCTTGCAGTTAGTTAGAAGTTTTCATCTTATTAAAGACAAGTGAGAATGGAAGTATAGGAAGGATTACATCTGTTTGCCAAAACACCTCATCAACCAGTTTTTTCTTATACAGTAACTATATTCCTTCCATCTTTTGATTATTTGTTCATCATTCAATATTTTGACCATAGAATCCTTCCTTCAGTGTTGTAACTCAAGGCTTGAATTTTTCCTTCAATTCTTTCAGCTTGAGAAAACTTGAGCATGTTCTTCCCTTTTGGTTTTCTAACTCTCGGTCTTGTACATTTCTTTATAATATTTTCATTTGTCTTCTCTAGCAGCCCTTTGAATTTTCTGTTTAGCTCTCGTGTTAATTTGTGGTTGGCTTTTTTTTTTTTGCTTCAGCTTCTCTGTTCAAGCAGTTTCAGAGTTTATTCTGACATCCATTTTAATTTTTTTCTTTCTTTCCTGTCTTTTAAATGATGTTTTGCTTTCTTCCTTAATGTTGTCCTTGATTTTATCCAACAGTCTGGACTTGAGTAGTTGGTGTTTAATGCATCAGATCTATTCTTGACACAGTTGGGTTTTTACATATTTTATATTGATTTGCATACAGAATTCACATACATTGTGTTTCACACAGTCCTTCATTCACATTGTGTTTCATATGATCACTTGTAACATTGTGTTTTATAAAACTGATCACCTTTGAACTATGCATTGGATCTTTCCTAATACTTTTATCTCCTTGTCCCACCCTGCCCTACAGCCCACAGACTCTCCTTAGTGATTTCCACCCTTACCCACATTCCACTCCCCTGTCCCCCTCCCCTTCCCTTTTTAGACTTATCCACATTTTACATGTTATCCTTCTATTTTTATAATAATGGTACAGTTATCCTTATGAGACTGAGTTAATGTCACTCAGCATAATTCTCTCTAGACTTTCCCATGCTATATATTATTTTACAAAAGTGTTGTTTCT